TATGGAGCCTGGAAGGCAGCAGTGTACCTATGCGGCAGAAGCAGGTGATGTACTGTGACCTCACTAAAACAGAATGGGATTGGGATAGGCTTAATGATCACAAATCAGATTCAGTTGTATACAAGGTGTTCCTGAGAGTTTGGTACCCTCTCACCTGTATTCTTCATGTGTTATGTGAGAATAGGAGAACCCTACCTTAAACAAATGCAAGTGACCCCCACTGTGGTACCTTGTGTCAAGTTTGGAGGACAGAGCTAAGATTTTTGTGGAGCTGCTGGGTATTTTAGTGACAATAAAATTTGAGTTGTTTGTTTTTTCCAAGAAGTCCAGCTGGGATGCAGTGAAGGTTCTAGAGGAGTAACCTGTCAAAACATACCTTTGTAGCTTACTACCAAAGTATAGCTTCATAATTTTAATTGACCTAGAAAAGCTAATTTAATATACAATGCATCATGGTAAACATCTTTAAATAGCAGGCAATGTCTTGACAGATAGACTCTGGAAAACCTTGTAGCAAGTTTATTGAGCATATCCAGCTATGTTCCTCTCAGAGGTTATTAACCCCACAGCAGAATTAATCAGTATAGAAGGAAGGTCTACACTTGACACAGAAATACTTCAGGGCAAGGCTTGTACCTCACTTTATGCTGATGCTGAGCAGCATGTTTTAAAGTATATGGTTTTGTTCTCAGAGTGTCCAAGTAGATTGTTTTAAATGTTTTCTAAACACATGGGAGTATGCGTGGACCTCTGTCTCAAGTGCTTTATTTTATTTATTTTTACTATCCCTACCCCTCAAGTGTAATTAGCACCCTCAGACAAGTGAAGTTCTCTTATTTGTCCCTAGAGACTGAAATCCTGTCATGGCATCCAGGTCAGTATCTTCTACTGGGTTACAGCTGCATTCTTTCTTTTGCATTTTAGTTACCAGAAGTTTTTCTTTCCCTGCAGGAGCTAGGACTTCCACATTACTGAAGATCTTTTTTTTCCTCTAGGAAGTAGGGCTGTCAAGTTTTCTTTGTGAGTCTATCCAAAATACTTACTAAAATACACTTGGTGTTTCACTCTATCACTTTTTCTGACTTCTCCACTAAGTTCTCCCATGCCAAAAGAACAGGCTATTAGTAATTAGAAATGTGCATATAAAAATCTACATTTGTATTTTTTGTGTTTTCCACGTTGCCTCTCAACAATTTTTTTTTCAAAGTGTCTCACTTTTGAAAGTGTCTTAACCCTTTCAGAACCTGTATTTGAGGTTCAATAAGGGTTCATACCAGAGCTGTGATACTCTGATACCAAACTGGCTCAGGTTCAGAAAAGTTACTGTTGTTGTAAAATAAATTTTATTTTGCTCATTGTCAAGTCAGCTACTGAACTGCTAAGAAAATTTTATTACTGAAAGATCTTATGTCACTTGGTCATACCAGATACCGGGATGTCTAAATGAGCATATTTCTCCTTTCCCAGTCTACTGGTGAGGTAGTTGCATGCCTAACTGGAGTGGAGAAAGATGGGGAGAAGGGTTACAGAGGCTGGAAAATTCAGAAAGGAGAAGTAGAGAAGGGAGCAGTTGAAGGCAGATAATTTTGAAAGGAATTAGGAGAAAGACCAAAGCCATGTAGGCATAATATTAAAGAAGGGAGTGAGACAAGTCATAGGGTAGATAATTGTCTCTGTGGGTGGGACATGTTCATATTAAGGGTAAGACTATAGAGCTCAAGTTGATAAGCTCTGCTGGACAATTTACATTTTATGCTGCCTCTAGTGTCAGGAAGAGGAAAAAGTGATGAAAGATGCTCCCAGCTGAGGGTTAGCGGTAAGTAGTTAGTGTCTTTGGATGAAGGATAGGCTTTCCCTCTGGGAGTGGAGGGAGGTGTATATGCAGGGAGAGGAGCAGCACTGAGGCCTGGTTACTGAAAAGGAGGCTCTAGTTCTCAGTGGTCCCTATGCAGGGAAGTCAAATGCAACTTACAATCACTAAAGAATGTCTCTTCTCACTAAAAGAGTCTGCAGTAAGAATCACAATTCTGGAGTCTCATAACTTCTGCCTTATATATTTCTGAGATCTAATATGTCTCAATCCCTTTGTAGTGGACAGTCCCCAGAGGGGATGGTGGCCTGTTCTTTCCAACAGTTTCTTGCTCCATCTGTTTCAGGGATAAAACTTTGTTGTGAACTTATGGATTTGAGTCCAGCTGTTCCCCTTGTTGTACATGCTGAAATTCAGTTGTTGTTAGTTCTTTCTAAATTTTTTTTTTCACCTTTAAGAATTATTGTTAGGCACAGATTTAAAAAATTGAGTCAGAAATTCATATAGCAGAGATTGTATGAACAAAGCAACTGTAAAAGCATTTTAATACAATCAGTCATTTTTTTGTTGTGTGGTTTGAAATGTTCTTTTATTCACAGATGTCACTAGATGTAGAAATAATAAAATACAGTCTTTCAATCTCAGTACATTTTAGAATTGCTTTGGCATAATCTTTGCCATACCTTATTCGTGGAAAGCCATGTGTTACATGTGGTTCAGGAACTTGGCTTGCAGCTGTGCAGTTTGTGTTCATTTTGCCCTTATTTATAACATGACCTTGTAATATCACTGTAGGCTTTCATGACTTCAGGGCTTAATTATTGTAATTCCCTTGTCAGTGGATTAGTGATGAGGCTAATCTGCTGCTTGCAGCTTGTTCACACTGTAGCAGTGTACTTCCTTGTGGCTTTCAACTGCCCTCATCATATTCAGCTTGCATTGTGTTTTTTACATTACTACTTACTACATGGTGTAATGTTTAAATTAGTTTTATGTATAAAAGTCTGAATGGACATGCCTTGGTTACATTTCAGGATGTTTTGTGTGTGTGTTAATCTAAACTAATTTTTCAGATTTTGCTGCAAGACTTACAAAAGGTTTCAGTCTGCAGATTAAACCACCTGAATATAGATGTCTGCATATTGGTGTCTATGTCAAGTAAACAGTCATTAGAATTGAAAGAGCATAGAGGGTGATCCAGGTGACTAGCCATTTGGTTGCTGAGAAGTAAATGGTTAGTGTTAATCGAGGAGCATTTGGGTATCCTAGAAATCTCATTAGGACTAATAGATACAATATCATCTTTGAAACACCCAGTCCTTTTGGAATGGCACCTGGAGACCAGGTGCAATATTCTAGAGCTTATTAAATGGCACTACACCTATGTTAAAAATTGATTCAAGCCTTAGGTGTTTACTTTGAAGTAAGATGAATTACTGTCTATACTCCATAACCTGCTCACTAGATCTCTGTTGACTTTAATGAGACTTGGGACACAGTCTCATATGTTAGCATCTTCATTTATGTCCCCTGTTTTCGATCTGAATCTGACCTATGAGGTCTTTCATCCATGGGATTTTTAATAATACCCCAAACCTTGACTGAAGACTGGCTGCATGTTTTAGTTCAAATTTTATTAATCTTAAATCCCGGGAATACTGTATTTTGTTTTGTTCCATAGCATTAAATTCTTTCAAACCTCAGAATGTTTTTTAAATGTAGCAATTATTTATGGCACTAAAATTCAGCAGTTTTACAGTGATAACTTTGCCTATATTTTGCCTCATGTAACTGAAAATAACGTGTATTGATCTTCTATGCCTTAAAGAAAAAAAGGCATATTTACATACTATCTATTGTATGTAAAGGAAAACTTATATGTACACAGTTACATAAATTGGATGGAGATTGTGCTAAGAGTCACATCTGTTAATTTCTGTTTTGAAACATCTCTGTCTGACAAGTTTCTAAGAATGGGTGGTTTGTCAAGCATTTCTCTATTGTTACTAGTTTAGGAAAGCATTTTCTAACTTCAGTATTGGTTTTGTCTGCATAATTTGGCTTTAAACTTGTAATTTAAACCTTCAGATACTCTTAGTTTTCTATTAGCCCTCTTCTTCCCATAGTCTGTGCAAAGAGCTCAATGCATATTGTTTTGAAGATGGCCTTTGAGTTGATGTATGTTTAAAATCTTTGGAAGCTTTTCTGACTAATTAAATATATGAAATCCAGGAGAATATGGTTTTAGGTTTAGTTAATGATATTTACCTGATGATAATTTTAGCCTATTGTATTAAATAGCTTGTATGAAATAACTTCAAAATGTACATTGTAAAAGACATTCCAAGCACTTCGCACCATAACTGTTGCACAGGTATCTTCAGGAGTAAAGGATTTCCCAGTCCCCACACCTTGCAGTGGTTTCGCCTCAAGGACATGGACAGTGCATGTGGTCAGTGTACCCAAGGGATTTTCCAGAACCACTGGGAGCACGAGGGCATTCCACAATACAAAGCCATCTGAGCTATTAGTCTGCTGCCTCTTCCAACCCAAGTTATACTCCTGCAAGATTGAAGTATAGGAGAAAACTTTTTGTGTTTTGTCAGTGCTTAGATGAAGTGCTGAAGCATGGGTTTGGCAAAGAAGGACTTACTGGAGCAGAAAATGGATAAAACGCCTAGATCAGTCAAAAATGTTCTTAACAGAACTTCCTGAAAGTAGAGGTTATCTCACTTCTGCTGTTGAGTTTAACTCTGCTGTATTTGTCATTTTTATCCCAGGGAAAGGGAAAAAAATTAACTCATGTATAGACTGAATGTGCTATCACCCTTACACATTTCAATGTAACTTCATGTAGTCTTTCCTTTGAAATAGCTATTTTGATGAAATTCCCTGCTATTAATGGATAGTAAGGTTACTAAGAAAGTAAATGTTTGTGTATTTTCTGTATAGCTCTTCTATGCCTGGTTTTTCCATTGTAGGCTGGAATAGTGGGAGTGAATATGAGAATGGTTAACGTAATCTATATGAGGCATAATGCTGAAGTTTGCATGTTCTGTTTGAGTTATATTTTACTGGTTTAAGTATGATAAAGGGTATTTTGTTAAGTTACTTCCTGCAGTAAATAATAGTGCTTTTCTTTAAGCGTGTGCTAGAAATAATGTCAAATGAAAAAATATTTTTGTATCAGATATGATTATATGAAAACACATCCTTCTGAGAAAATGCATCTAGCAGTGGTGGCCTGTGGTGAAAGACTGGAGGAAACTGTTACTATGTTGAGATCAGCCATTATTTTCAGCATCAGACCTCTCCACTTTCATATTTTTGCTGAGGACCAATTACATGAGCGTTTCAAAGACATAGTAAGTATTTGAAGAATGAATTCAATCAATTTGTAGCACAATTTGAGTAATATATTGCAATTTCTCTACTTGATACAGTGACAGAAATGCAGTGGTCTAGACATAAGATAAGACATTTGTAATGTTGAATGGAGATTTTTGAGGTTTTTTTCCTGTGGAAGAGTGCCAGTTGCTGATATCAACGTTCCTCCTAGAGATAGACCAAATCTTCCTGATTTGTCACCTTAAATCTGTTAAATACAAACCTATGTTCTGAATGCAAACCAGTTATCTGTTATCTTGTGTGAGCTTAATTAAAGTTAGCTTTACAAGAAAATATTAGAGGTCTGTCCTTTTTTGTCCCTCTGCTTACAGCATGAGTCAACCTTGAATTGTTGAGACAAACTGAAAACCAGTTTTTGAAAATGGTAGATATGGTTATGTCTGATTTTAGTAAATTGTAGTTAATAAATATAACATTATGACTGTAGTAACAGTTTTAGAAGCTAACTAGGATATAACTGTGGAAGGTTTTATTATTTTTGTGCTTAAAATGTCATATTAACTGTGACATGAATATGTTATACATGCTTATGTGTATATGCTAATGTTATGCGAACAGTAACTGGCAAAAATGGAGTAAGTTATTTTAAATTTAGAAAGACTTCCTGTTATTTCTCCTGTGGAAACTAGCTGAGGGGAGGAGTTTTATTTAATGTACTTACTTTTTGTAAATGCTAATTTGTTTTACTTCCTCTTCCTTTTGCATATGATGTGATATGATGTGTTTTCTTCATAGTGGCCTGCAGGTGCCCTTTTTTTTCGATTATTTTGATTAGCTGACAGATTTTTGTAGTTCAAGAAGCATTTCTGTTATGAAAAAGAGATGTAGTTGTGTTCAATTATGAATTTGAATGAGGGATTGATTTATTTTTTGTAATAGAATTGAACTGAAGTAATTTCTGTGATTTCTTCTTTTCATATAGCTTGACAAATTCCCCTATGAAGGAAAAGTTAATTACACGTTATATCCAATAACATTTCCAACTGAGAGTGCAGCAGAATGGAAGAAATTGTTTAAACCATGTGCTTCACAAAGGCTATTTTTACCAGTAAGTTACTCTGTAATAGGACAATGAAGTCTGTTTGTGAAGGATCAAGCTGTCCTTGTTAATCTGATATCTGCTTGGTTTAAAATGAAGGACTACTACTACTCCTGAAAGTTACTTTTATGACATCCTAAAAAATCCTGTGAATTTAACCACCTTCTGTGGCACTAATACCCTGTGGAATAAAAGTCCTTTTCTCACTTGCTGCATTATGGCACAGTATCCTCAGAGAGAGATATAGGTCATGTCATCCTCTCAGAGGTAAGAAGGATTTATCACACCTCATCTGCTCATTTGTTTGGAAAGTTTCCTGCATGCAGTGGGTCTGAGAAGTGTTAGAGAAAATGAAACAAGAAATGGGCTATTGTTGCCAGTGTTTTGTGCAGCCTTTTTTTATTTTGCTCGTCTAAGACACTTCAGAAATCATTCTTCAGGTTTGATGAATTAGAGCAGTAGCAACTGTCTCTTCTGGGGCTTTTACATCTCTCCCTTTTTTGATTATCTGCATGGGAAAGCAAGGGAACAGGAGCAAGATAGGAGCTCCTGTTAGAGTAATGTTTCACCTGGCCTGCAAACCTACTCCTGAGGAGCCCTGGCATATAAAATGTAGACTGAGTGCCTTTGCGTTACTATTCTGTATAAAACCTCTGTTTCCTTTACAAAAATTCTTTAAAATGAGAGGAGTGATGGCAAATTCATTGACTGCAAACTGTCAGCCTAAAATGAGTTTATTTGCATATGGCAAAAATGTGTTAAGCTTTATTGTGTAATGGCAGCAACTTCTGTTTTATGAAGAGAAGTTCAATAAAACTAAAAGGTTTGGGTTTAAATTTCTTTTTCTCACAGTTAATCCTCAAAAATGTGGATTCACTACTGTATGTTGATACCGACATCCTGTTTTTGAGGCCTGTTGATGATATTTGGTCTTTTCTGGGAAAGTTCAACTCCACACAGATTGCTGCAATGGCACCAGAACACGAAGAGCCTCGTATTGGGTGGTATAATCGCTTTGCTAGACATCCCTATTATGGAGTAACTGGAATTAATTCTGGAGTCATGTTAATGAATATGACACGTATTAGAAGAAAATATTTCAAGGTATGTGTGTTGACTTTATTGCATTTTCTGTGGACTTAAGTATTTTAATTCTAATCCTGTTTCAAATTCATGTGTATTTTTCAAAATCTTTTTCCTGTAATTGTAATAATTTTCTCAAAGTACGCTGTTTAAAATAGAATATAACTATTTTTTAAATGTCATTCACTGTAAGACTTGGAGTTCTTGAATGTCAAGTGTGCTTGATTGTTTTAATTTTTCTTAGTTCTGAGAGATCCTTGACTTGGTAGAATTTGCTCTAAATTACATTTACCAGTAGATATGCCAGCATTTTTAATTCAGTGTAGCAATCCCAGAAAAAAGTTAAAATAAACTTGTACCATGTGTAGTTGTATGACCAGGAGGTGGTGCTAAAACATTTAGTAAGGTGTTTAAAACGAAGGTTTCCAAATTTTGATCTTTTACATTGTAACCAGGTGGTTATCACCCTAAGTATCTTTTTATTTACTATGAAGTCATAGTTTTGTAGACAATTTAGTTCATCATGATGGTATTTACTACTACATGCATGAAAGCAGTGCACACAGCAGTAGAAATGGACGTTGCTTCTCAAATGGGAAGTTTTTTTCTTACATACTTGAAACACAAGGACAAAAACAGTGCTGTGTGATTATGCTTAGGGGAACAGTGCATTTCTGCTTAAGAGAAGTTTGATTAGGGAAAAATAGTCATGCAGTCAAAAACTTTTGGAAGTGCATCCGTAAGAGGGACAATATAAACTTCCAATAGACATTACTTCTCCCCTGTTTTCAATTTAATAAACAGCTTTCATCTTCAAAATCTTGCTATGTATTTTTGTTAGGAAAATTCAGAGAATTTAAGAAAAATGGGGAATGAGTTATCTCAGTTGCAGTTAAAGTAGAAAGTTATAGTAGCTATAGTATATAGCTGTATTTTCTCCAAGAAGAAAACTTCTCTGTATATGTCATCAGTGAAATCTTGCATTGTCTACTCTGTTTGTTTGTTTTACTGATTATAGCATATGGAGAAATGAAAATACTGAAAAGTATAATGAGAAAAACATGGGACTGAAAACTGCGTGTATCTTAACCTCTGACAATGCAGTTCTGTGTAGTGAATTATTGTAGTGTTTACTACACTAAAAAAAAAAGTTGGTCTTTTATTCATACTGTACCAGAATTCTAGTTGGGCTTCTCAGTACGTCTTAGATTATCAATTCATTGGAAACTTGATGCGTCTTTACTAAAATTTGGGTTAAAATTTTCAAAAGTGTGCGTATTATATAGGCTAATAAAATTGTCAATAAAATTAACTGTTGTTTTCTAGAGAATAATATGAAGTCCTTTCTCCTTAACACCTAAAACTGGTGTTTTCTTCAAATTTAGGTTTATATATACAGATTTATGTAGGTGAAATAATTAATGAGTATTTTGAAATTCAAAATGGAACATTGCCACTTTCCCTTGGCTCTAGAGGGCTGGAATATTTTCCAAGTCCTAAAAATATCTGCTACGTATTCCTGGTATTGCCATGTGTATTTATTATGCAATGAAACATGTCAGACTGTTCAATGAAAACCAACCTTGGAGGAAGTGAATTTTTTATAATTACTCTTTATTACAGGAGTGAGTATCTGATTTATAAGACCTCATAGTAAGGCAAGGCATACATCCGTATGCTTTTCTCATGATCTTGCTGGCAAACTTCAGTATACCTAACATGATGGACAGTTTCTGGCTAAGTGGGCCACTGAACTTCTTTCTGTAGTGAGGAAGATAGTGTGTCATAACTCTTTTGGGGAATCAGAACAAAAACAATTCTTGAATTGTTCTGAAAACATCCATCTTAATGCTCAGATTGTTCGGTATGTACTGTACTAAAAACAAGTCTGCTTGATGAGTTGCAGGCTAAGCAATCATACAATTAGGGGAAAGGAACTGAGACTGGAGTTAGCTACCCAGTGCTACTACATTAAATATTCAGAATTATGAAACAACACTTGAGAAAGGGAGGTAGGAACAAAGCAAAGCTTCCTAATAGCAAAGCACATGATTCAAAGCCCTTTTTGATGAATTTAGTTAACAAAAATAATAAAAAAGACAATTAACCCATTCCCATGCTCAGTTGTTTTAAATGTTAGAAATGCATCATTTTCTGCTCATAATAGTCATATTCTTTGGCATCCTTTCTAGAGCGTTACTGTCACTTCAAACTTAGACTTCTGCTTCCGCGTGTGATGCATATGTACTTCTGTTCCTTGCTTTCATATGTCTTCTGAATCTCATATTTGTCCAGGAGTGCTTTTGTGTGCACTGTGGCTGTTCCTCAAACATTTAGGACTAGTGGTACACCTAAGGAAATATTCTTTCACTTTTGCTTGATTGTAAAAAGTAAAATAGGCTCAGAATTACCTCTGAGAGGAGATTACCTCATGATTTCTAGACCATACTGCTGCCTTAGTCCTTTTACTTATTGGAAAGTGTCCTGTAGTATCAGGCTTGTGGTAGCATTTTCAGTCCAGCCAGAACAGTTTGGGGATGTCTAATCAAGAGACCTACTAGGTTACCTGAAATTTAGGAGTGATAGTGCTTGATCATTCTCCTCCTCTATCATAGTGAGATAGTGCAGCCTGGGTAATGACTAAGGAGGAAATGAGGTTGTTATACAATATTGATTATTGAGAGCTTTAGAGAGCACTCAACAGGGGAGCCATTTAGTTTATTTTCCCTTAGTACCTAGAGTGTGGTCCTACAAGCTTGCAGAGTGTAACAGGGCCCCAAAAGTGCACAAGCTTTATTACAAAAGCTCTACTGTTCATGGAGACTCGCAGAGACTGTTTTCTTCTTCAGGTTCCTTGAATGGCTTAATAAAAGGAGGGTTGGTCATTAGGAAAAATTGCAACCTCACAGCAAAACTTTGAAATGTAGTTGAGTCTATACACAGTAGCAAAGGAACTACTAATCTCAACTCTTTGGAAGAGAGAGGGTAGGTGTAGAGTCTGTCCTAAATTCAGGAGTAGGGGCTAATACCCCTTGCCAACAACACTGCAGATGCTTTTGGACCTTACAGGTAACTGTTCCATGTTGTGTCCTGTGAACTATTCCAGTCAAATACAATAGAACTAGAAAATGCTTCATTGTTTTGTAGGAATGTCTGAATTTGTTTATATTCATTCAGGAGGCTCAACAAATTCTTCAAGGAGTATATAACGTCTGGGAATTTTTGTATCTTTTAAAAGCTGTCTCTAGATCTTTTTTATATGACACTGTAGTGGCTAGAACATTTATCTAAACAGTGGAAGTCTTGAATCAGGATATTTCTCTAATGCTGTGGATTTAAAACTGTGGGTTCTTTGTCTATTGTAGTTTTTTCAGCCCAGAATAACAGACTGAGCTGCTTGAGGCCTCTAAGCATCTTTCTTCTTTGTCACATTCATTTGTAAAAGTCAGGAGGAGCCAGAAGATGGATAAATAAAAAGTAGAATCAGAGACTTCAGCTAAAGGTTACAGTGTTTGTCTGGGTAGCAATAAACCTGTAGTTCCATGTGTTGCTCCAGCATTAAATTGTCTTTTATCCACTTACTTATTAAAGCCTCAATCTTCTTAGGACTGTCAGGTTTAGTCATTTTAGACAAGTATCCTAACTATTTGGCTATCTGTGGTGCTTAATGGAAGTTGTTACTCCTGGTCCTGACTATGTTATCTGTCTTGTTGTTTTAAGTCTCTGTGTATATACACAGAACAAATATATGCACTGTGCGCACAGGTGTGTGCATTCATTTATTTGGACAATACTCTGGGGCACATGGTGTGACTCTTGGGAAGGGCCAGGAGTGGGACTCAGATCCTTATGGGTCCCTTCGAACTCAGCGTATTCTCTGATCTATACAGATACGTATGCATGCATGTATGTGTTACTGAATATACTGTGGTCATAAAACAGTGCATAACTGGGCATGAGACTAGAATCCATAATGGAGCTTCTGATGGTTAGTGCCTGCATGTTGTCTTTGCTAAGCAGCAGTTATAAAATGGGAATGTAAAACACACAAGAGTATTTAGGATATGGAAGAGATAGTAGTAGATAACTTCTTTTGTATTTGTATACGTATAGATGTAGTTATTTTTTTAAACTGGAAGAGATGTAGCAAATACCACAGATATGGTGTTTTAACATAAAAAGTCCTAGACCAGTGAGGCAATATGAATAGAGAGCAATGACTTTTATCACACTTATTAAGAAAGTTAGTTGTTGTTATTCCTGAGATGCAGGCCGTCATGGAAAGGAACAAGTTCTTAGAAAATCAGACAAGCCCCCAACACCGTTGTGTGTTTTTTTCTTAAATCTCTTTAACATTCATTGCTTGTTGCTGAATATTGGAGAGAAGGCTTATATTCTGAAAATCCTTAAATTATCATAGAATTGTTTCTGAAATTTACTTGACAAACTTCTGAAAAGCAGTTCTATCAGCATTCTACTTCTCAAGCTGTTTAACCTCACCACAAGTTACAACAGAATATTTTAAAGAAGGAGAACGTATAACTATTCCAGTAGTTTCTCTTGCTCTGTGACTCCTATGCTGATGTCATTATACATCACTGTTAATAAATTAATGTTTAACTCTTTTTTATTTATGCAAAGGTTACTGAAATATTACATTTCCAGTACTTAAAATCTGACTGCATTATTTGTCAAGTAGTGTTGTTTCTAGATGTCTGGCTATGTGATATATATTGTTTCCTGCTTTGCGTCTTCTTGGGATATACTGCTATTAAAACTCTACAAGTGAAATGAAAATTATATTAAATAATGACTTTAATAACTTAAAGTTATATTTCGGTCAATATTCTATGGATGGCAAAGTTCAGGTGAGGGAATAATCTTTATGCACTGTGATTCAGTCCAATTTATTTGCTTTTTGGAAGATTTTAGCTTGGTCTTAAGCCTGTGTTTTATTTTGTTTAATCACATTTCACTGAGTCTAATGATAATTCTTACTAGAGAAGAATTCTCTTATGCATTTCTTATACCTGCTCTCATTGAATACTTGCAGGCAATCATAGTCATAAATTTTTTAGGACAGAAGGGACTGTAATATTCTGTTTGGTTTCTTACACAATATAAACTATAGATCTTTTTTTTTTTTTCAGTAATTCTTGTCTGAGATCTGATAGTATTTCTTGTTTTAGTCTTCTGTTCTAAAAGCCCTTCATATTCGATGGCTGAAATGATTTGAGGAGAGAATAAAAACTGAACTGCTGATTTGTGCACTTTGTAGTTTGTCAGTGTAAAGCTCAGAGAAGAAAGTCTTTGATACTGTAATTCAAAAACTGAGTCTTCTGCTCCTAGTAATCTGTCTCTTAATATGATATTCTTGTATGCAAATCTCAAACTATACTGGAGTTCTAATTTAATATTTTTTTTGGCAACCTGTTAAAAAGAAGCAAGGGTACAATTCTGTACTTGTTAGGAATTTTCTCTGGGACTTTTTATTATTCCATCTTACTCTCACAACTGAAGTACAAGGTAGAGAGTGAGCAACCTTGTTCCTTTTCTGTTCTATTTGAGCTTAAACATGGTGTAAAGATAAGAAATTATCTTTGGAATATGTAACCGGTTAAACTGCAGATTTTAATCTCTTTGGTAATATGGCCAAAAGAGTAAACAGTAAACCAGTTTACTCCAAGTAGCACCTCTGTAACCTGAACCTTAGAAGAAGAACTTCTTTCAATTTGAAGCGATTCTGCTAAATCAAGAAATTTGGCATTTACTAACAGCTGTTGGTTTAATATCTTACTGACTTTTACTAGTGAAAAGTTATGCCTTTGCTGGGGAAGTTCAAGTTTAGTAACCAAAAAAATTAGTTCAACTGGATGAAAATTCTTTTGAAAACCTTTGAAGGATCTTTGTATTTTTGTGCACTATGTTGTAACCTGTATTTGTTGTCTCTATGTTTGGAACTATTTAAGAATTAATTTTATATTGAACTGGTTTAAATTTTTGGAGATATTTATCACTCTGTGATGAAGAGAGAAAGTGCATGAAGTGTGGATATTTAAATACTCCCCATCTACTTGCTGCATCACTTGATTAAGTTTTGGTGTTAGATCCTACTGCTGCATAAAAAACCCTTGCCATTTCTGAGAACTCTTGGCTTAAGATGTTTGAAGAAAATCTTGAAGACAAAAATCTAATGTAATAGAAGTAGGAGATGCATCAAATTTTCCTTCTAAGTTAATAATTGAGAAATAAAGCATATTGGAAGTGTCCATAACTATTTTCCTTAGATGGGTTTGTTGGTTTAAAAGGAAGAAATCATCTATACATTTGAATTGTAACTTTGAAATGCAAATTACTACGATTGTGTAAGGCATTTCCTTATATATTATAGGTATAATTTTCCTGAATATGTGTTGTTTTGTCTTCTGCTTCATAGAATGATATGACACCAGTCCGGTTACAGTGGGGAGAAATTCTTATGCCACTACTGAAGAAATACAAGTTGAACATAACATGGGGTGATCAGGATCTATTGAACATTATGTTTTTTCACAATCCAGGTAAATCCACACTGATTTTAAGTCTAACAGTAGAAAGCTGATCTTTTCCATGATGTTAAAAAATCTAGGAAAATACTCTTTTTAGCAGACTTTTCTGTGAAAGCATTCAAGGGACTATGTGCTCCTTTTGTTCTCTGAAAGTGTTTACTTCTAGAGTTTATGTTGAGACACAACACTGGAGCTTGTTAGAGTGCAATGAACTGTTAGATTTCAAAACAACTGTACAGAAATCTATGAAGCAGCCTTAAGAAAAAAAAGAGATTAGTATATTTCCTGAGACAATTTTGATACTTAATCCAGAGCTCTCATTTTTCCACACAGAAAGTCTTTATGTCTTTCCTTGCCAATGGAATTATCGACCTGACCACTGCATCTATGGAAGCAATTGTAAGGCAGCTGAAGAAGAAGGTATATTTATTCTTCATGGAAACAGAGGTGTGTACCACGATGATAAACAACCAACTTTTAGGGCTGTCTATGAAGCAATAAAAAATGTAAGTATTTTCAGCATTGTACTTATTATTTTTTAAGGTATTTTTATCTGCAGTGCTACATGTATTTTGTTTGATACTCACCTTAAGTGCAACAAAGTAATTTTTTTCTCTTTTAAGCAACTTTATGTGTTTCATTGGTTTCTTCTTTATTATTTGGATGAAGTTCCAGTATATTCCTGTTGTGATGAGCATCTTTGGAAACATAGTGCAGACTATGTTTAAGTTAGGATTCTAAAACATTGCCCGTAGTTGTCAATGCTTATTTAAAAGGCTGTATTCTCATTCATTTAATGAATCGTCTGGTAAACTTTTTACATGAGCATTTGAAGATCATAGAATATCTGAACTGGAAGGGACCCACAAGGATCATTGAAGTCCAACTCCTGGATCTGCATAGGATCATTCTCAAGAGTCACACCATGTGCCTGAGAGCACTGTCCAAATGCTTCTTTAACTCATACAGGCTTGGTGCTGTGACCACTTCCCTGGGGAGCCTGTTCCAGTGCCCAACCACTCTCTGGGTGAAGAACCTTTTCCTAATACTCAACCCAAACCTTTCCTGATAGAACTTCAGACCGTTCCCTCAGGTCCTGTCCCTGGTCACTACAGAGAAGAGATCAGTGTCTGCTCCCCCTCTTCCTCTTGTGAGGAACATGTAAACTGTGATGAGGTCTCTCCCCAGCCTCCTTTTCTCGAGGCTGAACAAGCCATCACCAGAAGCTTTATTTTTCTGGATATTTTAAAATGCAGGAAAAACCTCATATTCCCAAAGTTCTTAAGTATTTATTGCAACATTTTAATACTCGTGTCTAGATTTGGATTGTAAAAAACTTTTTATATACTGTGTTTGACCTTTTCTAGAGAATCAGTGTATTAATATGTTGTTGTTCTTCTAAATACTAAGCACAGTGACGTCTTTTCATTCTGCAAATAAGTAATCTAATAAACTATTTATCGCTGCATCAGTATACTCACTGAAGAGCCATAAAATTTAGCACTGATGCACATTTTAATGTAGCAGGCTATTGTGTGTGTATAACCTACAAAAGTCAATAGTATATTTTAATGTTGCTTTATTACATGTTGTCATATAGATATAAAAATGAAGAAAAGTACTTCTGGGGATCTGAGAATACATTGTAGGGAAAGTGATTGTGTTTCCATAAAAATATGTTTTCTTTGTTTCCTTTGAGTATTGTCAAAAACAGAAGAAAAAATTATTTCCTGTTATATATGATCCCATTTGGTATATGAACATGTCAGAGAAAGTATGTAAAACACTGCTGATTTAATGGTAATATGATGAACAAAATTATGTTACTTCAATATGCTGTTTTAACTTATCATTTGTTTATAAAAATATAGCACTGTTGAATTAATGACTACTTTATTTCATGCCTATGTTAAATATAGTATGTGTTTGACTATCATTCAGTTTAATGAAACTTCAGGTCTATCACTTTTCATATTGCTTTCATTATAATTTGATAAGAATTATGTTACTTAAAGGTTATAAGCCATTTGAGAAAGTTACCATAGAACCAGAAAAGTAACCAGAAATCATTTTAGATCTGTAAATTTTTAATTTGAAAGGTAATTTTAAATTTCTTCCTTGACTGTCTGAATATGTTCATTTGCTTACATTTAAAAATAGTAAGTCTTCCATGTTATGCTTATGGAAAGCACTAGAGAATATTTCTGTACTTTGGAGGTGTTTTTCAGTTATTACATTCAGAAGCACTCTGAATGCTTGAAAACATTTAATAAACCTATAGAAAGCAAATATGATGCTCAGAAACATTTTTATAAAACTCTAATCCTCTGAATAATGACAATTTTCCATATTGACCTTAAATTTTCTTTTCTTAACCTCTTTACAGTATTCATTTGGAGATGATCTGGTTCATTCACTGCTGCAGCCCCTAGAACTGGAATTACAGAAAACCATGCATACATACTGTGGAAGAGTTTACAAAGTATTCATAAAACAACTAACAAAAAGCATAAAAGACTTGTATGCCAGAAGATCAAAGGGAAGGTGACTTTTGACTCCTAGCTGTTATATCAAGAGACTGAAGTAATATACTGGTCAAAAGATGCAAGAATTTTAATACAGCTTGAATGGGCTCTTAATGTGCCCAGACAGAAGTTTACTAGCATACATAAAAATGAAGAAAATATTCACGTAATGAAGAACAGGAACTTTTTTCTGCAGAGGTGACTTTTTGCTCTTTTGAAGTTTAATCACTGCTAATGTTTATCTTGGTTCTGATGATTTGGGTGTTACTGACTTCTATGGTCAGTGCTTTCAGTCTGACCATAATTCAGTTATCTAATGATCAAACAAAAAAGGAAGAAATGAAGATGGCTCTGTTTGAGAGTGTACCTCATATATTGTCTAAAATTATGTTAAAACTGTGAATGTAGCAATAACTGAGTCAGCAGCACTAACCTCACTTTAAAGGTGCGAGCCTTTATGTAAACAAAGTTGTTTACAAGTGCAGAAAATACTCTGTTTTCAACAAAATGGGTTGTAATTATCGACAATCTGTATGTGCCTTTACATGTTCATCTCTTACATGTTGAAGTACTGTTTTGACAATCTTGTTTATCTCAGATGTGAACTGCACGCTATAAATAGGATTTTTTGAGAAGCTGATAACTAGTATGTGATACTAGTTTTCTCCATTGGTAAATACGGAGACTTTATATTAAAAAGCATTTGTTTGAACGTTGTAGAACCATTAGCTCTAAAAGGTAGAGCAGAGTTGAGAGGGTTTTAAGTAAAAATTCAGTTTGAAGTTGCTTGTCTTATGATACTTCTTAAAAAATTCATGGTTTTGCAGCTTTAATAGGGCATTTGGGAAACCAAGAAAAACCCAACAGTGAAAATCTGTTGCTGTTGTATTTCCATACTAGGAATTATTACCTGATGATTGTTATAGAGTATGTAGGACCTAAAAGTGAAGAGCTGTAGTAAGAGTTCTGATGCTTCATCAGACTGTGTAGTAGATAGGTTTCTTAGAGAATATATCCTGTTACCATATATTTTTAAATAACATGGCTTTAAAATAGCTTTGGGGCAGACTCTCAATGCAATGAATGCATTACTGTCAATAGGGTGATAGTGATTTGCAACAGGTAAGGATTAGGCTTTCTTCAACTGTCTTAGTGAAAAAAGAAGTACTGTTTATGCAATACAAACTTTTTTCCCAGAGAAAATGATGAAGAAAAAGGCAGAACTCTAGTGTTACAGTAAAATATTTAAGCTTACATGGTATAAAATGTATTTGTAAAGTATATTTGAACTTAGATAACCTGTCTAAGTGAGATGAAGTTTTCCTAAAGTGAGGTTTTGGATTCCAGAAAAGTTCCTGTGTGTTGAATATGGAGGATCCGCTCACTGACTTGCACCTTCATCCCAACCCCATTTTAGAAGCTTGATTTTTTTTTTAACTGTTTCCATGTCAAAAGTAGGCTGCCTCTGATTTCCAGATTCATGTCAGTTGAGCAAATGCTTTAGCAGTACAAAAACGCACTACACTGTAAGCAGAGTTTATATTCTGTTTCTAATCTCCCTGCGGGCTCAGGGTGTAAATTTCTGGGATGAAAATTAGGAAGCAGTCTGCCTTGCATATAGATCTCTTTTCCTTGCTGTGTAACCTTTTGAAGACTGAAAATGGAGAAATCTGTGTGAAGGTGAATACTGTGACTGACTGATTTTACAGTATGCAGTGCATTATTTTTTTACATAAACACTGATTTTTTTATCAATTCGTCTTCAGCTTTCTTTTTTACTTGTACTGTGTGCTTTTATTTAAAAAAAAAAATCTTTGAGTTGTTTTTTGTTTGTCTTTGCAGACATATATGCTGCATTATTTGACTCTCTTTTTTGAGTGAAAATTACAATGAAACACTGCTTATTTACTCACATTTATGGCTGTGATGGTATTTGTGACAGATTAAATTAGATGAAACTAAGGGGTAAGCTACTTCTTTAGCTTATCTGTAGGAAAACACTAGACTCCAGTTTCCTCTACCTGGTTTATAAAGGTGTCTCCAAAAGCATAGACATAGATATTTCCACTTCTTAGAAGTCTTGAGTTTTCTTTTTCAGATTTAAAGATTTTTAACTATCAGACAGGTTTAACAATATCAATTTACTCATAGTATGATTTTTTTTTACTCAATTAAATGGAATGCTCATGTATAATTTAAATGAATGTGTAGACTCTTTGTCCCATTTTTTCCTAATAAATTACCAATTTTGAATAGTTATTTTTTAACATTCTCTCCTGTGGTATCTAAGGTGATTATGATAATTATCATAGCTTCCCTGCCCACTTCACTACTTTGTGAATGAATGGTATTTGGAACTGCTCCAGTAATTTTATGTGTTAAAATAAGTTTCAGAGAACTATAATGTGAATGTAAGACTTTTATTTTATTAGAGGAAGTGGATTCTTCTGTAAGAGTGTAGCAGGGAGGATGCTGAAACTGAAACCATACACCGTGTAAAGCTCAACAAGAACAATATTTATTACCAAGAGGTGGCCAACAAAACGAGAACCTGAGAGAGAGGAAGGAGGAGGAAAATAAGCCCTCAGTATGACCCCCCACTCACTCAGGTGTTGCATACGAGGTTTCTCTTACCAACCCCAGAATGCCTGGAATTACCCATTCTTGGAGTGTTGGCAGGCTCACAAGATGGCGGCCATCCCCGCAAAAGGCAACATGGTCCTTCAGTGTGAAGCTTGAGTTCCACTCCCAGCACGAGCGATCTGCTTTTTATACAATTAAGTGGTGACATCTACCTGGGCAGGTGTGGTCAGCACCACCCAGAGAGGCCTTTGGTCCCTCCCCCCGTTATACAGGTGGCATCTCTTCTGCACATTCGTGGGTACCTTGGAATTTCCCTGCGCCTGCATGCTACACCTCGGGGGGGTCTTTCCTAAATGAAAATGAGGCTTACTTCATCCTCCTCCTCTTCACTGTCTCCGTCAAATGCCCTTGAAGGGCTATCAGCCAATAGTGAGGTACCAATTAATTATAGTTTATACAAAATGCTTCCTTCAAAGACAAAGTTCCCATTTATCAGTGCTTGTTTTCTCATAACTTGACAGGAAAAGAATAGACTCTCACAGATGGCTGGGCCAAACACAGACCAAAGTAGCAGCATATAATTAAGCACAAGTACAAAGAGACAGTAGAAGTATAAAGTAATGAGAAGATACTTCTCATCACCATGGATCTTGGAACAGGTCTTAGATCTGTCTTATGGGGTTGTTGCTGTCAATCTGAGCATTTTTCTGTGGACAGACACTCAGAAGTGATGTCATAACTTGCATTGTTCAAAAGGAACCTTAAGTATTTATGATCTATATCTAATCTCTTTGAATATCTTCTGTTTCTTTTTTTGGAAGTTTGGTTCTGTCCAGCTACATTTTTCTGCATATTTGAGAAAAATAACTGAAATTCCTACAGAGTTTTGCACAAGTAACAGCCAAGTTATTTGCTCAAGTTGCCCAAGTGGGCAAAGCATGAACCCAGCAAGTAAAAAATTAAAAAATTAACCATGAGTGTGTATGCTTTAGGTTCCCTTAGAAAAAAGAAGAATGTTTTTTGATCTAAGTTTAACGGTACAGAGAAATACAACTTGCTTTCTGTATTTAACTGCCAAATCTTAAATAATGCAGGATAATTTTCTGTAGAAAGGCAGGTTGCCTCACAGTTGCTTCGTAGACCTCGTAGTCTGCTTGAAACTATTACTCAGGTTTAAAAACAGAAGATGTTTGCAGAGGTAATAGGAAATTTCTCACTCTAGGAAGTGAGGAGAAAATATCTTTTTAAGGTAGTTCTCAAAATCTCTCCCTTCTAACCATTTAGTGGAACTATGTAAGAATAGCTTGTCCTCCAAGATTATAATGAAATTTAAGATTTGTAGTTCTCCAATGCCTTTTTACGCCTTTGTGGGCCTGTTAAAATTCTAAGTTTCTTGAAGAAATATCAAGTAAGTGGAAATTCTTAAGGTGAAGTTCAATTGTCTCTTCAGTTTTGCGGGTGTTTTATGTACAGCTGCAGTCAATTCTTTAGAGTCCTTGTTTAAACTTATGAATGTGCAACTTCCTGTATATTTGCTGGCAGATTTCTTCAGCACTTCTTTCTGCTCTTCTCCCCCTTTTCCCTGCACTGCTTTTAAAAGGTAAGCACAAAGCTCTTTTTTCTCTTGAATGCTTATAAAAATTACAGGAGGTATTACTATCGGTCTCTTTGCAGAAAACTGTAATTAAAGAAGGACCTGTATTCCTACTGTGGTTGGGTTTTATTTTTTCTTTTTTCTTCAGATTGCTATTTGGTGATGTTTGGATAAGAGGAATTTCTGAGCATTTAGAAAAGTCATTATGTTCCTTGAGGAATCATCTTGTAGTTTCTTCCCTGAATCGGTATCTCTGTTCTTTCTTATGCTAGATGCATGGCTACAGTCTGCCTACTTGATCTATATGATTCCAAGTTCCTTTAATCAAAGCAGTGACTGTCAGTTCTTCTAAATCTGTATTTTAAATGCCTATCCCATACCTGGGTGCCACCTTAGTTGCACAAACCTAGTCTGTTTCCACTTAGAGATGACTTGGGTTGGAAAAGCCTTAAACCTCATCTAATTCCAACACCTCCCACTAGACCTGGTTGTTCAAAGCCCCATTCAACCTGGCCTTGAACATTGCCAAGGATGAGGCATCCACAACTGCTCTGGGCAAACTGTTTCAGGGCCTCATCACCCTCATAGTAAAGAATTTTTATCCTATATCTAATCTGAACCTTTCCTATTCCAGTTTAAAGCCCTTTCCCCCTTGTCCTGTCACTACATGCCTTTTTACAAAGTCCCTCTCCAGCTCTCTTGTAGCCTCTCTTCAGGTACTGGAAGGCTGCTCTAAGGTGTCCATATTTGATTTAATTTTCTTGTTTTAGTTTCCAGCTGTACCCATAGGAAAAAAATAGTGAGATACCAAGGAATGAAGAATTTTTCACAACAGAAAACAGAGAACTACAGATTTCTGAAATATAATTAGCAATTTTCAAATAGTGTTCTGTCTTTGAATCTGATTTCCAATTTGGTAGATGTAAGGGTTGCATCTTGGTTCCATCAAATATTTGACTTTTCCTGTGTTAGCCCCTTATGTGGAAGGATGGGCAGATAACTTTTAAAAGACCAATTCCTTGTTTACTGTGAATTTCAAGGAAAGGAACTGTAAGATATCTGTAAGAACTGGAGATTTTTAGTATCACCCTATCTAAACTCTTTGAAACTAGTAATAACTGCCCACTTGCTTCTGTATGGTGATACTGGTTCTGCTTGTTTTCTGTTTCCCCATGCTAAAAGGGGAGGGAAATGATGTGGTTGTTTGCTTCTCCTTGTTAGTTCCTGGGCTCCTGTCTTTAGAATTCCACATGACACTTAAAAGCCAACAACCAAAACCCAACTTTCTGAGTCAAAGCTGGAGGAGAATAGCACATTAATGCCCTCATTTAGGAACGTTTTCACTGGTCATAGGCCTTACTCATAGATTAGATGACAGGACACTTTCCTTGCACTGTTTTATCATAACAGGTCTGCAAAAGCAGGACTTCTCAGGTTTCATATAGTTTGTTGCTGTTTTAAGAGCGCCAAACTAGTAAAAGAAAGGCGTATTATATTCCCAAAGTAAATCCATTAGAAGCCTTTAAGCATATAATCTAAGACTTTAATCATATAATCTAAGCCTATAGTCTTTATGTGTTATGCCTGCTTTTCAAGATACCTATTAAACTAATGTCCTCTCTCAAATTCCACTTCCTTCCCTCTGTGCTGTTTTCCACATATAATTTATTGATTTATTTGCTTCTTTAGAGCAAAGCAAAATTTTGGGAGTTTACCTTAATAATGTCTGCTTGAAACCAAATAGAGTTTTACAAGGAGAGGAAAGAGACTGTGAAATTTGTTTGCTAGATATCATTTCTGCTCTTCAGACTTCTCTAAGGCCATGGAGTACAAATATGGATCTTACATGTGGCTTCCTCACTGCTTGGAGAAGTGCTGCTAGGTTACACTGTCTTTAATTTTCTCATTACTAGCATTGAATACTGATAGCTAAAAATGCTTTGTGTGCCTTCCTAAGTGGCCTTTCTATTTTATGCAGTTCATATTAAATTATTAAACTGAGATGAGCAATTTATTAGCATTTTCTACCACCTTCATATTCTGGGAGGTCGCTTTCTCTCCTGTTCTTCCTTTGGGTAATTTAATATCATGCCCTCATTTTCAGAATTATAATCTGGGTACAATAGTTCCACTTTTTCTCTTATGTCTGTGTCTTATGAATGTTTATATTCTGCCAGTCATTTCTGCACACATTTTACTAGAGCAATTCACATTAAATCAGTCTGTAATGTTCATAAGAACTGCTTTGAAATACAAAAGTAGATGTAGAAGGTATCTTAAACTGCAAATCTTTGTGGTTGAATTAATGAGTATTTAGGACATGGTTTTTTTAGGCTTCCAAGAAAATGAAAGCGATATAATCAGTTTTAACTCCTGATTTAAGACTAGGAAATTAGATTTAATTAAGGCTGATGCTTTAGCCTTATAATGCTGACCTACTACGTCTCACTGAGCAGCTGGTGCCTAGGAAACTCTGCTTGCCTGTTGGATATCATGAAACTCCTGTCAAGTATTTCATGCAGTTCTGACTAGTCACTGCTATTGCTATTTTTTTTTCATTTTAACATACCTGCTATATTTTACTTTATTGTTTGGTTTTACATTTTTGTGGCATGGATAGTATTATTCAAGGTGAATTTGGATTGTGAATCTAAGCCCAAGAAATAAAAACCCTCAATTTTGCTACCCGAACTGTGTTATATGATTCTTTTTCAATTTTATATTTTTTACTACTCTTGTGGGTAAACTTGGTGTATTGGGGGTTTACTGCCTCTCATGGGTGCTGATCTTTTCTGCTTGTTTTTCCTGGTTTGCCTCCTTTCTCCACTACCCCTCCAGTCTCCTTGCTGCGTGTCTGTTTCAGGAGTTGGTGTCACTCCTCATGATCTTTCTGGATCTTTCTGGTAGCTGTTATGCCCATTAGTCAGTAAGGCTTCTGCCACCAGGTACATGCTTCCAGAACTGTTGGCTGTAATAAGGTAACTTTATTCCCAGCTGAAAGGGTACCCTGGAGCAGGTGTGCTGCTTTCTCCAGAGTGCTACTGAATGAGTGTGGCTGGGCACCTAAGCATGTGCTTTACCAAGCACAGTTCATAAGCAGTGCTGTGTGTTTCTTTGCTGTAACTCGGGGAATAAATTTAGTTTCCCTTTCAGCTTTGTGTAGACTATTACAAAATTTTAATTGTCTTTATTTTTCTGTAGAGATAAAGGGCTTTTTACTAGAG